CCTAAAAAAAAAAAAAAAAAAAAAAAATTATCGACAATTCGTTTATAAAAAGCTAAAATCAGATCTATGTATATTTCAACAGCTAAAATTAAGACATTCAGATTTTTTAAATCTATCAAAATTCACCGTCTATTACTGGTTCCTGTACACACAAACTGAAACAACGGAGCCGCCGGTTCATGACAAAACGGCGCCGCAGGATGTTGCCATTTCTTAAACACCGTTTTTACCGGCTTCTCCGGTAACTCTTTCTTCACCCCCTCTTTATTATTATTACTCGAATTAGAGAAACGATTAATCGCTGATTTCAGGTTATCAGGAGAAGTCGGAGAAGTAATCAACGGCGATAAAAGCGGTATCGCGACGTTCCAATCGGACACGCGGTTGATTTGAATTGATGCCGGCGCTCGGAGCTGTAACCGGCTAGGATTCCGACGGTCACCGGTGGAAGTACGGTGGTTGTTTGACATGATTGGATCGGAGATTTGTGTTAGGGAAGAGAAAGTTAGGGATTGAGAAAGGAGGATTGTGTGAATGCGAAGGAGAGAAGGGAGGGGCGTTTATATAAGGGGCATGTGGAGAACACGTGGATGTGGAGAGAGATTCAGTCAATGGTCAAAGAAAGAGCCAGAGAAATTTATGTTGCTTTTATTAAAGCAGCTCGGCTTTGAGCTGGCTATATTCACTTGCTATTTATTACGGGTCGAGCTGAACCGTGGAAACAACCATTAATATTTGCATTAGAGTGAATTATCTACATTATACTCTTTGAGGCGCGATCCTTTTTCGAATTCTACGTAAATACAAGATACTTTATTTATTGTGTTTGTATTGGTCAAAATCTGACTGTCACGACCGTATCGACCAACGTCATGCCCAAGCGATAGGGTAACAAAAGACGACATGGTCTGCTCTACATCCGACGTCCTCGACATCCGTCAAATCAGAAGAAGCAACGTCTAAAGAACGACCAAGGCATACTTGGAGTGAGAGAACGTCGAACCAAGCAAACTGTAAAGGTGTCTCATATATAAAGTGGAAAAAACCTCCAATAAGGGGCTCTCTCACCCTTTTCTCTCTTGGAAGCTACCTTGTTGTAATCTTGAGAAGAAAGAAGTAATCTATAGAAAAACATGTAAAGCTATCCCACATCGATCGATGGGAATCACAATGTTGAATTTCAATAAGATCATTTATATCCTTTTCGTCCTATATACAATCCATACTATTAGCTCTTTGATCTTGAATTTATTATGCCTGACTAAGATTTACCCCTTCATTTTCTTTGATTGATTTGTTCAAAAAGGTTTCGATATCTTTTGAGTCCAACAATTTGGCGCCATCTGTGGGGATTTCTTAGTGAAATTTCCTAGTTTCTCCCAGATCAAAGACAAAAAATACAATCACCCACCAAAAGGAGCACAAAGGAAAAACCCAACCCACGCGAGACAAAGGCACAGTGCGGTAGGGGGAGGAAAGCCGAGCAAAATCACCAAACCTGGAAAATTTCGCCCCGCCAACCATCGATATGCCAAACAAGACGAACAATGTTACCAACCTGTTCTCCTCCATTGGACCACCGGACGGGGGCAAGGAAAGTATCATTCTAACTCACCCTCTGCTCTTTGCTCAAGCAGAAACACAAAGGTCGCGCAAGCGAATGAATAAAGAAACACCTCAATTAAAGGACGAAAAACTACTGCAAAACAACTGTAATACCGCCCGCCGGTGATACCTCTAAGCCGGAAGGCAGGAGTCAGACAAAGAAACTACAATATGTGCGTAGAACGAACCTAAGTGAAACAGCAACGTTTCACATCCTCCGACGTTGCACCCTCCGATGCAAGTAATGTCAAACGAACTGGGACTCCCCCAGAAAATGTCTGATTCTCCAAAAACTGGAACGACGACGGGTTACTATTTCGATAAGTTCGAAATAACACCCTTTAAGGCCAAGGGCCTTCTCCAAAAAGAAGAGTTCGACCTCGATCGAACGACGACGGGTTACTATTTCGATAAGTTCGAAATAACACCCTTTAAGGCCAAGGGCCTTCTCCAAAAAGAAGAGTTCGACCTCGATCGAACGACGACGGGTTACTATTTCGATAAGTTCGAAATAACACCCTTTAAGGCCAAGGGCCTTCTCCAAAAAGAAGAGTTCGACCTCGATCGAACGACGACGGGTTACTATTTCGATAAGTTCGAAATAACACCCTTTAAGGCCAAGGGCCTTCTCCAAAAAGAAGAGTTCGACCTCGATCGAACGACGACGGGTTACTATTTCAATAAGCTCGAAATAACACGCTTTAAGGCCAAGGGCCTTCGCCAAAAAGAAGAGTTTGACCTCGATCGAACGTTGACAGGTTACTATTTCGATAAGTTCAAAATAACACCCTCTAAGGCCAAGGACCTTCACTAAAAAGAAGAGTTTTACCTCGATCGAACAAGGACGGGTTACTATTTTGATAAGTTCGAAATAACACCCTTTAAGGCCAAGGGGCTTCACCAAGAACTCGATCGAACGACGACGGGTTACTATTTTGATAAGTTCGAAATAACACCCTTTAAGGCCAAAGACCTTCGCCAAAAAGAAGAGTTCGACCTCGATCGAACGATGACGGGTTACCATTTCGATAAGTTCGAAATAACACCCTTTAAGACCAAGGGCCTTCGCCAAGAAGAAGAGTCCGACCTCGATTGAACGATGACGGGTTACTATTTCGATAAGTTCGAAATAACACCCTTTAAGGCCAAGGGCCTTCACCAAAAAGAAGAGTTCGACCTCGATCGAACGACGACGAGTTACTACTTCGATAAGTTCAAAATAACACCATTTAAGGCCAAGGGCCTTTGCCAAAAAAAAGAGTTCGACCTCGATCGAACGACGACGGGTTATTATTTCGATATGTTCGAAATAACACCCTTTAAGGCAAAGGGCCTTCGCAAAAAGAAGAGTTCGACCTCGATCGAACGATGATAGGTTACTATTTCGATAAGTTCGAAATAACATCCTTTAAGGCCAAGGGCCTTCGCCAAAAAGAAGAGTTCGACCTCGATCGAACGACGACGGGTTACTATTTCGATAAGTTCTAAATAATACCCTTTAAGGCCAAGGGCCTTCGCCAAGAAGAAGAGTCCGACCTCGATCGAACGACAACGGGTTACTATTTCTATAAGTTTGAAATAACACCCTTTAAGGTCAATGGCCTTCGGCAAAAAGAAGAGTTCGACCTCGATCGAACGACGACAGGTTACTATTTCGATAAGTTCGAAATAACACCCTTTAAGGCCATAAGCCATCGCCAATGAGAAAGCGCGAAATATTCCTAAGGCCAAGAATCAACGAAAAGTGCAAAAGACCGGGACTCGCCATGCGGGAATCTATCTCGCACCGAAATCACGCGGAACGAAAACAAGAATAGAATACAAGGCAAATAACAGCGAAAAATTCTCTTTTGTATAAAATCTCCGCGCAAATGGTCGCAAATTACATAAGACCCAAGTCAACAGTCTAGAAAAAAGAGAGAGAAACAACAAAGGGAAAAAAGAAAGAAGGAACAACGACAATCGATTACGAACGAAAAATTGGGAAGAAAACAACCAATAGAAAACAAATCAATATCACTATCCCTCTACTCCGCATCGTCATCTCCACCCTCTCCACTGCCATCTCCGGGAAGTTCTCCTTCGGCGTCTGTGCCCCCATTATCTATAGGCATCGTCGCATCATACCCGCAGTTGACGTGAGCCTCCCGTTTCACTCGCGCCTCTTCATATGCAGTCTCAGTCACAGTACCTGCCTCCCATAAACTCTTGTATATATCCCGCTGGGCTTCAGCATAAACCCTAAGTTTGTGCATGTGGCGGGGAACGGCGGTGGAGGAAGATTCAATCTGAGCCAACAGTCGCCCATTTTCTGCCTCCAGTGCTGCGACCTGATCTCCCAGAACCGATGCATGTTGATCAATCTCGCAAATGTGCTCCTCAAGCCTTACTTCCATAAGGGTAGCCGTCGCTCTCTCTGACTCCTGCTCGGACTGGAGGATGCGGATGGTGTTCTCTAAGGCCGCCGCCCTTGCCGAAGTCGCGGACCAAGCTCTCTCGATGCTCTCCAACCCAGCGACCTTGTTCTCCAGTGCAGTCAATTTCCCCATCCATTCCACGCTCAGCGCCTCGACCTTGATCAAGTTCTGATCTATCTCCGACTGCATTGACCTCAATTTCTCCTACAGGTGCTCGCACTCTGCGGCGACCCCCTTGGCTAACTCGAGCTCCTCATCCTTTATTCGAAGTTGCTCCTCAAGCACACTCCTGCTGCGGATAGCCTGCATCAATTCCTGGGCCTTTTTCTCCAACTCCTCACCAAGAGCCCGATTACTGGGGTTTGCCTTTAGCCGCTCATGCATCTCGCGGTACTTGTTGTGGTAGCGACAATATTTATCCAACATCTTCAAGAAAATTTTGGCCCGAATGTTGGCCCTGCGAATGATTTCCACTTCCACCATATACGTTTGAAAAATGTAAAGACGGGTTAGAATCGTATCATCAAGAAAGGCGAGGGAAAAGCGAAAGTAAGAACATACCCTTAAGCCCATAACAGCCACCTCATCCATCAAATCAACATCAGGAATAGACCGAATGGTCGCATTCTCGGCTGCGGAGCATAACATGTTGAACTGCGGCACCAGATCCTCCGTCTCCCCTAAAAGATTGGTATCCGAAGGGATCTCAAGAATACGGGCCGAGCCTCTCGCACGAACTACCGAGTGAGTAAGGCCCTCCTCAAACATCCTGATATAATCAGGGTCGAGGTCCAATCCAGATTCGTAATCGTCGACTACCACGCCTTTTCCTCTTTCAGCAGCTGAAGAAGAAGCACGACCAACTGCAGAGGATGAGGGTACGTCCGAAACTACAACGACGACCCGAGAAATCTGACCTTCCACCACGATAGGTTGCTTACCACCAACAATGGTAGAAATCTCTGATTGAGCCGAGACGACGACCGGTTCTGTCACTACGGGAGGAGCCACTACAACCCCCTCTCCAGATCCTGTCGAAGGAGAGTTGTCTAGATGAATCACTATTGGGGGCACTATATCGAACTCCACTCGCCGTCTTTTTGATGGCCCATCTTCTTCCCAATGGGCGGAGACACGCCCGTCGAACGAACAGCACGAGTCGGAACTTCGGCCTGAGAAGCGGCCCTCGCAGGAGTAACCGCGGCCGTAGACTCAACCGAAGCAGCCCTCGATGAAGGTCGGGTAGTGGGTACCGCGACAGGGCGAGTAGATAAGGCTGGTTGCCGGAAAGCTAATGGAGGAGCCCTCACTCTCCACACTCTCCCTGGTACTGACGAACAACACGTGAGGAATTAAATACAAAGAGAGCAAAGAGAAAAACGATGGACAAAAATGATATATTACCAGAAAGAGGCCTGTTCCCATACTTGTCATATAAAACCGCCACG